ATAATTTCCTTTTCAACTATGGGCTTCAAGAACATAGAACTCATGTTCCTTTCAATTGTATTATTATTTATAGTGACGGATGTATCATCAGTACAAATGCTTCTTCCTAAACTTGGACCAACATTCACAAAAAACCTGTTAAACTTATCTACTGCATCCTCCAATCTATTGACCGGTGTGTCATTATCCATAAACTATTGGCATTTTGGTTCTAATTTTGCAGAAACCTCAACCTAATCAGCAATGATCACAATAATAATCTTATATAATGTCATCAACAATTGTTAAACACGTGTTCTTCCACTGCTTCAACTGTTTGTTGTACATGAGGAGAACAAGATATTTGACATGCCTGCTGGCATTCACAGAGCTGTACAGGACTGATACATATAGTTTAGGAAACACCAGTGACACCCACATACAGTATACAAACCTAAATACTGAAGAGCTAGTCTTGTTTTGCATCATCATTAAAATTCATTAAAGCTGCAGTGCAGACCAGCAGGGCTCCGAAACACCAGTGTTTGTGTGTTTCGGTCTGTGTGGATGATAAGCACACTTGCCTGTTGTCAGCACTCTGTGCCCTTTTCTTTGCTTTTAAAACAGTACACTCGGGTCTTAGATGGAGGGCAGCCAGTAGTCAATTACCCTCTTGGCCATTTGAATGTCATGGCACAGACTTGTTTTAGAGCAGAACAAAGCAGGGACAAAACAAATGTTTATATACTGTGGGATGTGAAGAAGCTTTGAATGAATGGTTCCCATAACTAAGATCTTATGTTCTGTTGGTTCTTATTAGGTATCAGCATGTCACCTCCATCCCAGGTTTCAATAACAGACTGTAGTCTGTTATCCTTGCACTACCAAATCAACATTTTCCTTCCCTCATTTGTCTGATACCATTTGATGGTTGTTGTCTTATCATACTTCTTTTTTTTTTGCAGAAGAACATTTATATTAGATTAGCACCATCAGACATGTGAAGCTGGACTGGAGTGTAACTGAGCAAATGTTCTCCATGAGGTTAATTGGTATAAATGTAGGAGACAAAAAAAATCATTATACTCATTATCACTGTGGTATGAATTGGTTTGGCTGGTAATTCAAAAGCAAAAAGAGCAGATAAAATGACTGAGGTGAAAGTACAGATATGTCAAATGTCAAATAATAAAAACATGATACAACATAGGACAAAATAAGATGAGTTTGCGCATTCTCTCTGTGTATGTGTGGGTTTCCTCCAAGTACTCCAGCTTCCTCCCACAGTCCTAAAGCATGTAGGTTAGGCTGACTGGCCTGTCTCTGTCAGCTCTGATATAGGCTGTCGACCTGTCCAGGTGTCTCGCAGAGTTGCTATGGCTTTGTAGACAAGTCATTTTCCTCACTATATCTTATATTAGTCGGGGTCATTTAAATCAGTGAATGAAATGTAGTCCTTCATGTGTGACCCATAAAGGGAGCGTGGGTAGTTTCTCTTCGGTGACTCCTAAATCATCGCCACTGAGAGCAAACTGCATATAAAGAGCACACTTAGTTCCATTCTGCTCAATATTGTTTGGGTTGTTCATGCTTATGCTCACCTGAGAGCCTGCAGACAAGTGTGCTAAACAGACAAGGCTGTTTTCATCTACTATTTAATTTGCCTGTTTACTGTCACAGCTGAAGCGCAGTAATCCCCCTCAAGGGCCCAGATGCCAATCAACACTTCAGTTAATGGAGGTGATTTGCAGTCTTGACAGTCGTAATGCGACGGTAGGAGGATGTGCTAAGTATGAAAAACCAAACATTTTCTAATTACCACAGCAAACACTTTTGTTTTTTGGCAGCTTTGTTCCTTAATATTCCAACACACCAACACTTGATAGCTCGTTGCTGTATGAAATATGAAAATTTCCCAAAAAAATAATAATTAACAAGTAGACAAATCCTTTGCCAGTAACCAAGTGCTGTTCATTTGTCTCCCTAATCCCTTCCAATGTAAATTTAAAACCTCTTCAAAGCAAATATTCAAAAAAATGTTTATATTAAACCATTTATTATTAAACCATTTGTCACAAGGTTGATGAAGGCATAATTTCATGTCTGGTCTTAGCAGAGTGCAGGCTGTGTTACAATAACAAGCGGTGCCACCTGTCATAACACTGACAATAGGTCAATTAAATGTGTCACTTAATGTATGTTTTTTCTTATTACCTCTGAATTATCAGTCAGTCAGTATTTACGCTGCTGCTTTTAGGTAATTAAATTAAATTAAAGCAAATCAGTGTTCATAGATGAAAAGCTGAAGGGAGGGAATGCCTGCCATGGCTAATTAGTCATTTGTCATTTTAGGGGAATAACATACAACAAACTATTATCATTGGGAATGCAACACTAGCATGAATTTGGAGAGAAATTCTACCCTATACTATAATTAATTCTGAACTATTAACAGTTGCTATGGCAAAAATATATACTGCAACTACTTGACAGAATATTATTAGTATTCTTTGCTTTTACACTCAATACTTTACTAAAGCACTGGTATATTCACCTTGCCTGGAAATTTCAGTGTCAGTGTTACAACAAATTGCGATGCATGAACACAAAAGCAGAAGGTGAGTGGGTGTTAAGTCTGTGTACCAAGTTATAATTCTGCGTTTACAGGTTGAGGATGAATTTACAGGTTGTTTGTGAACATTTATTGCTCCTGATGTGAAGGCATTGTCATGCAGGTGGTTTGTTAATGGCGTAAAACTCCCTCATCATTGGCAGGGAGGGATGATGGTAAATCTGAAGATAACTAATCTTTCTATTTTTCTCTCTCATTTTTCTCTGCTAGGATGAAAATGGTGCTGAGGGAGCTTCATGACAGTCAGATAAAATCTCCTTATCTGTATGGATGCTACAGCTGAAAGTTTATCTGACAGACAATGCTCTGACCAGGAGAATAAGATGCAAGCGTTTAACTCTGGAAACCTGTAAAAACGCTTTGCTGATCATGGCATTTTACTGGATGGAGGCTCTCCAAGAGTTATGAGCAGACCGGATGACTACAGTTTTTCTGCATCTGGTTTTGATATTGATCATTTAACTTTAATGTTCTGACTTTCAAATTTCATCAAAGACACGAGGAACAGCCACGTTTCAGTGCAAAAATCAATTCAGGAGACTTCATATATTGAATAGATAAGAGAGAGACAACAAGCAAACTAGCTTATCTGTAGTCATCATCTTCCTACATGCAGCTGCCTGCTTAGCTTTATTGAAATAGGGAACCATTAAAGCCATCAGAGCATTTGTTAGAAGACCTGGTCTGAAGCTGCTGTTGCCAGCTGGCTGCTGGTTGGAGATGGCATAAGTGCACTGGAAAGAGAGAAAAGAAGAGCCTGTCTGACAGGAGCTGAATACAAATCAAGATTTGCCTCTCCTGCTGCTGCACCACCACCGAGACAAATCAGTACTGGAGAAACGAAATGGACAAATTAGTCAGCTTCAGTTACAGGAGCATTATTATGGTGAACTGAAATTATGCTATAAGATATTTTCTAAAGGTGAATATGAATTCACACTGCAATACACAGGATGGGAAATGAAGGAAAATATTGTCTTAGTTACTGATAGGTGAATGAAAGACAACCTTTTGCATCTACCACAGCCAACGATGCCACACCAGAGTACAGCCTTCCTTAGTGCCATGTCTGGACTGATCAATGTACAATTCTGTATTATAGTGATGAGGCTAGTCTAAACCTTATAGAAACTAGCAGAGCTGAGATGGAGGTGGATAATAGTTCACTGGACTACTTCACCAGCAACGTCTCTGATATTCCTGACACCACCACAGCTCCACCCTGGAGCAAGGCCACCCTACTCGGCCTGCAGGTCTCTCTGTCTGCATTGTTAGCTGTCGTCACGCTGGCAACTGTGCTTTCAAACGCCTTTGTCATCGCCACCATCTTTCTGACCAGAAAGCTCCACACACCTGCCAACTTCCTAATTGGCTCCCTGGCTGTCACAGACCTGCTAGTGTCTATTTTAGTCATGCCGATTAGCATAGTCTACACCGTTAGTAAGACCTGGTCACTCGGGCAGATTGTTTGTGACATCTGGTTGTCATCTGATATCACCTTCTGTACGGCCTCCATCCTGCACCTGTGCGTGATTGCATTGGATCGTTACTGGGCCATCACAGATGCTCTAGAGTACTCAAAACGCCGAACCATGCGTCGGGCAGGGATCATGGTCGGGGTGGTGTGGGTGATCTCCATATCGATTTCCATGCCTCCACTTTTCTGGCGGCAGGCCAAAGCCCACGAAGAGCTAACAGAGTGTGTGGTAAATACAGATCAGATCTCTTACACCCTATACTCTACCTTCGGTGCCTTCTACATTCCCACAATGCTTCTCATCATACTCTACGGACGTATCTATGTTGCTGCCCGCTCCCGCATCTTTAAGACGCCATCATCCTCTGGGAAGCGTTTCACCACAGCACAGCTTATCCAGACCTCTGCAGGCTCCTCTCTCTGTTCTCTTAATTCTTCCTCCAACCAGGAAGCACACCTACACTCTGGCAAAGCAGGAGGTGGAGAAGGAGGAGGGGGAGGATCGCCTCTGTTCACAAACAGTGTGAAAGTGAAGCTGGCAGACAGTGTGCTGGAGAGGAAACGTCTGTGTGCAGCGCGGGAGAGGAAAGCAACCAAGACGCTGGGCATCATCCTGGGCGCGTTCATCATCTGTTGGCTCCCATTCTTTGTGGGCACGCTCGTCATGGCCATATGTAAAGAGTGCTGGTTCCATCTTGTGCTTTTTGATATATTTACCTGGCTGGGATACCTGAACTCCCTCATCAATCCTGTAATCTACACTGTATTCAACGATGAGTTCAAACAGGCTTTCCAAAAAGTCATCAAATTTAGACGGTGCTCCTGAAAAACCTTATAGTGAATTAGAACTGATTGTTTTGGAAAACAGGGAGTGAAAGACATGCAAAAATATATCAAAATGATACATCATAATGATAAATGAATTACTGTACTCATAATGTTCCAGCTTGTAAACATATGATGAAGGTGATGTTTTTCTTTGTGTGTGAGTGTGTGTGTGTGTGTGTGTGTGTGTGTGTGTGTTTCTTTACCTCAAATAACCCTGTGCCATAGCTATTTAGATACCTACCTTATAGGTATCATATAGATTCATGCATGCATGCTAAAAAAATCTTAAGAATCCAAATTATGGAAGTCATTGTAAAAAGATAACAAAAAGGGATTTAAAGTCTATTTCAAACCACAGGGACGTTGCTGATATTTCCTGAACAAAAGCAGCTGTAAAACGAATGAGAACTGGTGTGACTGTGTGGAAAAACCAAACTCAGAGTGACTGGATTCGATCTACCAGAAATGAAAAGCCATGAAATATATGTTGTCATAATCTCTGTGTCATACTGTATGCTGCTGCGCCCATAAAATGTCCGTGCGGTACAGTAAATTAAATTACTTAGAAATACTACAAAGATGCAGAGATTCAGTAAAATTGTTTTCATATATGTATTATCACTTGCAAATGGTTTGTGTGTTGGTGGGCTGTACTGTATGAATGTGTGTGAGAGGCAGTAACTTTACTGTAATAACACATAGTGTTTGTGGGAGGGAGAACTGTCAAGCGATTGACATTTCTGCTGTACATACTATTCTCCAGTGAGGCTTTACAGAGACTGATATGGAAACAGCATTTCCCCTCTGCTTCTCTGTATTACAGTAAATAACACCCACTGCCCTAGCAGCAAATAAACCCTTCTAAAAATTAAATGTTATCACTGAGCAGAGAGTACAATGAAAGAACAAATGGTCATTGCACTGAGATAATTATTAACTTTGAGAACTTTATTTATTCATTCGTTTTATTAATGTCAATGCTTGTTTTACCTTTGAGTTAGAGAGTGTCATTAGTAGATGCTGCATACTTGCAGGAAAACTGATTCACTAATGTAAATTAGAATTACGGCCACGTGGTTGTATGCCTCAGTCAACCAGTCACGGGTACGGGACAGAAGTGAGGGCATTGACCTTTGACCACCAAAGTCTAATCAGTTCATTCTTGAGTTCAAGTGGACACTTGTGCCAAATTAGAAGGAAGTCCATCAGAATGTTTCTGACATATCGCATTTATAAGAACTGTACGGACGTGTGGAAGGACAACCTGAAAATATCATGCCTCCGGCCTCGGCTGTCTCCAGCGTGAAAGCATTAAAATGATCGTGACAAAGGTACCTGATTAATTTTAATGTAATGAGTTTTTTCTGCGGTGTCATTTCTTGATGCGCTTTAATATATGCAGCATTAGCAACCTGAATAACACGATGCCTGAACATGACTCTTTTTCTCAAGTTCTGCGTCAGAAACCTATAATGCACATGACACATAAAATGTCAAATAATCTTTCTTTTCCTTTTCATTTCTTTCTTAACCTTTCTATTTCACTTATTTACAAGACTGATCCTCACTGTTGACTTAAAAACAGTTTTCTTAAAGTTGAACCATTAACTTGTAGGATGAACAAAAAGGGTTGGACAGCCTTCACGTTTGTCCAGTGGACTGCTTTCAGTAAGGACCACCCACAGGAATCAGTTCAGGAGGCGGTGAGCAACTCAAATGACTGAATGACCTTAAAAATGTATTTGATGGCTGATGGTCTACTTCTTTATTCAGTCTAATATGATATGAAAATTATACAGTTTCTTCATAATTTGGATCTACAGTACATGTGTGCATGAAGAGTATATTGTAACCTTGGTGTCTATGCAAGTGATTCACTCCACCTTATGAACCTCCATCTGCTTCTGCCATCAATTCTTCATGTCTGCCTCTCAGAGCGTCTGCTGTATATACATAATGTATATACATCTCTATGATACCATAACCTTACAGTGCCCTCTCTCTCTCCACTGGTTTGAAAATGACCGGCTGAATAGCCCAGTGGAGCAGACACTTTTTGAGATAGTCAGTGGAGTTGTGCTGGTGCAGAATATTTTCATTCCACAGGAAACAGACGGGCTTAGCCACACTACAATAAATATATTATTAATGTGCCATTTATTTGGTTTACATTTCCAAAGAGAGCTGCAGTCAACCCTCTGGGCCACTGTGGAGCTGAGCTCTACTCTCATAAAAATGTTCCCATTAGAGATGTAAAACGTGTCGTTGATCGGCTGAGTTTTAGCCGTGCTGGCCACACGGCTCTATGGATGGCAATGTTGGTCAGTCAGCGTAAATTGTTAGTGGCAAAAAAGCCCCCCAAAACATTTTAATGTCTATTTGTGAAGTTTAATTGTTAGTGATGTTCCAAAATCACAGTTTGATTGACAACCAATGCTTCTCATATTGTATTTTTTCTTGATCGGACAAAATGCATTTGACTGGTTTGACAATTCTTTTGTAGTGCACACTGAATAGCATTAGTAGGCTATGTGTAATGGATTTGGGACACAGCATTTGTCTTATTTTTTATCAGCTGCAGTATGTTCATCACCATATTGGGTGAACACTAATATTAATTTTATGTCCTTCTAATGTAATCTTTAGGTTCAATATATTGAAAGAAAATGAAATCAGTTGTCACTCAGCTCTGCACTGACCGCTGTCTAGGACAGAAGTACAAATGAGGAGAGAATGCATTCATATTTTTCCTTTTAACATGCTACATGTACAGGTTTAAATAAATAATCATTTGTAATGGATCTAATGTCTGTTGCAACCATCAGTGTTAAATTATTACACTGTGAAAATTCCAGGATCTAGGATGAGATCCCACATTACCCTGGTGATGTAACATAATTAATGCGCTCTATATGTTAGACAAATAAAACTCTAATTATTCAGGATACAGCATTAAACATACCATAGTTCACCAGCTATTGATTAATGCTTTTTGGGAATCACTGGTGTATAATTAATTTGTAGTTCTATAAATACTGTATGGCTTGATAAATTAGTATTCATAGAAGGTATTGGAACAAATTATAATAAATGAATATGTATCTCTGCAAGATATATAAGAGGCATCCTAATGCCATGCAGACACTCCATTTTGGGTTTAAATCAGGTTGCATGTGTCTTTCTCTCCCCTCTAAAGAGTCAAAGGCTAAAATACAAAAAAAGGAGTCAAAAATAGTTCTGTCACTCCTGTTCAATGCGGATAGGAGATGGCTTCAAATAAAGCTAGGCTGTCTGGAGCAGAGAAACCAAAAGGCCAGGATGCACTTTACCTCACTCTAAACTTGTGTATGGAGTAAACCTGAAAGGGAGCACAGAGGAAAACAGTTTGAAGAGGGTAAGTGAATGGAAAGATAGTGACAGTCCTGCAAATAAACAAAATAAACCCCCTGAAACCGTCTCTTTAGTTATTTTACTCAGAACTACAGTGATGAACTATAAACCAATCAACAACGGTTAGACATTGCCAATCTTAGAACCATGCCACATGGCTAAAAATGACAGCTCTCATAATTAAAGCATGTTCTAGTTGTCTTTAATGGTATGTCTAAATTTGTCTAGTACCTTATGCAGATGCAGATTTTTGACCCATTTGTCGTTGTGCAATGGTTGTGGGTTGTGCTCCTCCTGCTCCTCCTTTCCCCTTCAACCGAGGACATCTGAGGCTGGCTGTCCAGTCTATAGTCTCTGGAATTTAACCATTTGGCACGCCTTGCTCTTGTTGTGTTGGGTAAGTTGTTGTGCCTTTTTCAAGAATCTTGAGATCTCCTGAAAGATTTTTCTGGTAACCTTAGTGGAGAGTCTCTTTCCTAGTTGTTCTGTTTGGCCCATCAGGTTGTCTATAGTGAAGTGTATTTGTCAAATCCTTTCGCTTAGAAGTTGTGCTTGCGATCTTCTTAGGATGTTCCCAGTCCTGTATCCTTTTACAGGAGAGCCCAGCCTCAAACGTCTGGGGAAGACATCCTGTTGGCAGCATCGCAATGGTTGTGGGTTGTGCCCCTCCTTTCTCCTCCAACCGAGGACACCTGAGGCTGGCTGTCCAGTCTATAGTCTCTGGATTTTAACCATTTGGTGAATAGCAACATGTCTGTGCAGATTCTCAGTCATCCAGGTCATAGTAAGCTGAAAAAAAAAACTTAGAAAAAATCAACTGGACTACGTTTCTAGGTCGAAGACCTAGTAAAGTAAATGTAATCAAAAGTATCCACATGCTGTGAGAAATACATTGTTAGATGTTCATTTCTTATGTTGCTTAGTCTGACAAGAGTTGCAGGGTGGTAGTATATCTTATATAAAGGTTGCAATTGTTCTCAACATGACCACCAGTCCACTGCTGGTTGCCATACACATCCACGCACATTAACAAAGACACATTCTCTAGCTCAACATATAAATATTGGAAATAAATGAATTAAGACCCTTAGTGAATAGTTTACATTTTCTGCCTTGTGAATAATCAATTTAAATCCCTTGATGCATACATACTGTTCAGGAAGCAGCACGGAGAAGTAACTAAATAATAAAGCATAGATTCTTCAGTTACTGTAAACTGAAAAGAAATGAGTTGTAATGTCAAAGTGAGGAATGTCTGAACTACTTTACTTAACCTGTTGCCTCTGTGACCTGGTTCTGTTTTAGTGGCAGAAAAGAGATGGATGGACAACACCAAAACCACTGCAGAAAACGTCTTTCATACAGAAATAAATCATTTATTCTGGTGAGACAATGGGAGTTACTGAAGAATACATAAAACAGCTCATGCAAATATAAACTGAAATATCGCCACTTAATGAAATGCATCTCCCAGACTAACAGGAAAGCTATGATGCTTAAATCATAACTGAGATTCAAAATGAATAAAACAAGTGAATACCAAGATCAGGGTATATTTGTATCCTTTGTGTAGTACTATTCAAGATACAAATGAATAAGTAATGATGACAGATTACATTTCTCTCTCTTTCTCTCTCTCCTGTGTGTACTTATACAGCCAACAGTTTTTCCACACAGGTCAGGAATTCATGTTTTATGTATGGGCCCAGAGCAGCACGAGTTCATAAAAAACATTTATTTAAAACATGTATGAGCTTTAGATACATTTCTGTTGACCTCTGTCATTTGGCACAGTTTCAGTTTTTTAAGGTGTCACAGTTTATGTCAGCATGCGCAGCTGGAAGGTGCGATGTGCAGCATAGCACAAGGTTACGTGGTTTACACCAGCTCTGCAGCTTACGGCCCTTACTGATACTTTGATTTTGACAGACTTAAAATCAAGCAGTACACTGAAAGCACTGAGCATTTGCTGATTCCAGAAGAAGCTACATATCGGACTTAAGGTTAACCAAGCAAGAAAACAGTGGTGTGCCTGGTTGGCAGACAGTGGGACTAAAATATGATAAATAGCTGTAGGGGAAAGAACTACCAAGGCAGCAAATTAGTGTACAAAAGGAAAACAAGTCAAACCATTTCACTTTCCAGTTAGAACAGCTCAGGGCTCACTCCTGCCAATTCAGTTTTCTCTATAAGGAATTAGTCAGAGAAAGCATTCACCCAGAATAAAATAAACCCAGAAGCAGAACACTTCAAGTCAGTGAAGTATTATATGATAGATATTTATGACACTCAACAACCAAACAGTTTTGATTTAAGCTGAGTGCTGTGTTTGGTTTAAGGCTCTGAATGATTGCAGGTTCATTCCACCACTTGAAGAAGATTTCAGTTCCAGCCAACGATGCCCCAGACCCAAGCAATGGCTTGTCTGCCTGAGAGAATATAAGCACATAAATAGAGTAATAAGATGTTTCTCATCTCTTCTAGCAAATTTCTCTCTGATACTTTGAAGACTAGTAAAAGTAACTCGTTCAAGGTCCATTTACAACCAATTTATACCTGCTTTGAAACAGATTCTATAAAAGC